AATATTAAATATATATATATATATATATATATACATAAAGTCAAATTTATAAGAAAAGCTAGAAATACAAAAACAAAACAAAAATTATAAAATAAATTATAAAACTCTAAATATTACAATACAATCGTTTCGACCCGACATCGATCGGATTATTGCTATCAATAATATCATCAATGCTAACAAAATTCTTAAATTCTATTGCTTAATAAAAATTATCCAGAAATTATATAAATACATGTTAAATTCTGAAAATGCTCGTCAACAATGTAGTCCTTTAGTTCTTCACAACGATGTGGAACCCCGAACAATAAGGGCATGCTTTCTATATGTTCTTGTAAAAAATTATCCTATTATAAAATGTTGTCTAAAAATAAAATTCTCATTGTCGTATAATATTAAAGGCATTCCAGCGAGGTAGAAATAAATCATAAAAGAAAGAAAGAATCTATAAAGAGATCTCGGAAAATAACCGTATAATTCACATAATTATGCAACTGTGTAAAAAAATTAGCAATATATTGTATAAATACTTTCTTTAATATTGAAAGAAGAAAAATTAATAATAGTTCCTTATGAATTCCCATTTTATAATTGAACAAATTGCAATCAGAAGAAATATGTGCAAAGACTATGTAGCGTCTCAACTTTTATATTTTATTTAGATATGTAAACGATATTATTTTTGCCGCTCCATCTGAGAGTGTGGATGATATTTTGGGAATATTTAATTCTTTACATACTAAACTACAGTTCACTGTGGAAGTTGATATGAACAATAGAATAAGTTTTTTGGACAGTTTTTTATTGATTATTAAGGAGGAGAAACTTGATATACCTAAAGCTACCTTCTCTAGCAGATTCCTTAACTTCAATTCACATCATCCTGTTTGTCACAAGAGAGGAGTTATCTATGGATTCATAGACAGAATTGTCCGCTTTTGTCATCCTCGGTTCCAAAAAAACAATTTAATGAACGTCATTAATATACTATTGAAGAATGAATATCCATTACAATTTATTTTTTCTACGCTCTATAATAGAATTAAATTTCATAATAAGATTACTACTACTAATATCATTAAAGTTAAAGAAAAGTTTTTTGCCGTTCCGTCAAATCTATCTCTGAAAAATTTTCATCTTGCAAATATGTTCAATTGCAAATTAGCTTATACTATTCCGAACACTTTAAAGGATTTAATAAGAAAGGATTGGCTGAAAGGATCGGCCTTTATTTTAATCAAAATGTTGTCTACAAGATTTTACTGCGATGACTGTGACGTTAGTTATGTGAGCCAAATTAAGGGCAATTGAAGACGCAATTGCATGAGCACGTTTCCGACATTAACGGAATAACTAAGTCTCCATCAGTTATCTCTAATCATCGTATATAGAGAAGGGTCATAATTTTAAATGGGACAACGTGAAAATTTTGGATTTTTAGAACCTTTCTATAATAAGAGGTTAATTTCGGAAATGTAATTGAATGAAATACATTAAAAAACAAAAACATGGAATTAATAAACAAAATGATACGGATTCATTGCCGGAATTATATTCTAACATCATACAATCTCTTTTCTCCTTTTTAGTTGGTTATTATTATTTTCCTTCCACCGGAGATTTTCCTTTTCTATTAAAATCCTTTTCTATTAAAAATCTTTTTAGTTGTGTTGCAATGTATTGTTTTAGTTACATATTCTTGGTTGAGACGCTACATAGTCTTTGGACATCTTTCTTCTGATTGCAATTTGCTGAATTATGAGATGGGAATTCATAAAGGATTGTTATTATTTTTTCTTCTTTCAATGTTAAAGTATTCACATAAGAAAGTATTTATACAATATATTGCTAATTTCTTTACACAGTTGCACAATTATGTAAACTTGAACTATTACGGTTATTTTCTGAGGTTTCTTTAGATCCTTTTATGGTTTATTTTATCTCGCTAGAATGCCTTTAATATTATACGACAATTTTATCTTTAATATTATACGAGAATTTTATCTTTGGACAACATTTTATAACAGGATAATTTTTTACAAGAACGTATAGAAAATGCGCTTACTATTCATGAGATCCATATCGTTGAAAAGAACTAAAAGACTACAAGCATGTTGGCAAGCATTTCAGAATTTAACATGTATTTATATAATTTTTGGATAATTTTTATTAAGCAGTAGAATTTAAGAATTTTATTAGTATTGACCCGATCAGTGTCGAAACGTTTATATTGTAATGTTTAGAGTTTTATAATTTATTTTGTTTTGTTTTTGTATTTCTAGCTCGTAGCCTTCTTATTTGATTGATGAATTTGATTTTATTTATTATTATCGAGCTTTATTATATTTAATATTAAATCCAATTTTTTTAAACATAATTTTAAATTTCTCTAAAATATTCTTAATGGATGGTATTGTGAAAAATTTAGGAGAGAGAGATTACTATTTTGATTCACAGAAACTGTGTTACTACTTTTTTTTTCAATGATGATTGGTTCGGTTGAAAATTAAGTGTGTGAATCAATGGACTACATTACAAATAAGAGAAACTGTAATACACACAAACATTTTTCATCGACACAAATACACAGATAGAAAATTATATTATGTATCTGTAAGTCATCAATTTTGTAATCATTGCGATCAACATACTGAGGATGGAGTTAAGTTTAAAATTAAGTTTAAAAAATTTATCAAATATACGTAAGAAAATTTTAATAATTTCCGCTAAAAAGACTTTGCGTAGATTTATATGCTCCTTGTTTATTTCAGATCATATTTAGATTGAATTTTATTTCATATGGAAGTCTTAACTTTCTGTTATTGAACTAATAATGTCTTTCCTTATTGCTATTCTCCTTGCACAGATCAAACAGATTAGATTTCCCCAATGGTCGATCTGTATGTTATGTTATTTTTATCATAGAATTACGATTCATTAATATAATAATCCGGAATGTCTGGATCTAAAACTAATCTTTTCAACGATTCAAAATCAATCAGACGATCAATCTCTTGAGAGATTCATAGAAACAATTTTCTTTATAATAATTTGCAATAATAAAATAATTTTTGTCATTTTTATTATCGTCTGGTTGATTTTGAACTGTTGGTAAGACGATAAAGCTCGATAATAATAAATAAAGTCAAATTTATAAGAAGGTTACGAGCCAGAAATACAAAAACAAAACAAGATTACTTTTATCATCTTAGACCATTTTTTTTTACTTTACTAACGTAAATATGTGGTTTTTGCGAAAGATTCCGGATTAATATTAATAATGGACCGTAATTGATCTATGACCACACATTATAATCTTACATAAGTACGAATAGTTAAAAAAATGTCCAATCATTACATCGTTAATGTAGTTCAATACAAATAATACGATAATGACACTTGTGCCATAAAAAGCGTGTCGCAAGAATCGACTAGTCATAATGTCTTATGAAATCGTTATTAGTAGTAAATCGTCGTTTAACAACGGGCTATAAAAGTAATGATCAAGATCTTTGAAGGACGACGATAACTGTGGCCAAATTTCTGTGGTTAACCGTTGCTCAAGAGAAAAAAGGCAATTTCTCTTCGCAGAATTCCATATTTCATATTACATGCATCATTGCTATTATACCTATGAACGTCCTCGACTTAAGTTGGTTTAAAATTTCCATTTTAATATTAAACAGAAATTGAATGTTATTAATTAAAAACGAAGAAGAAATAAAACTAAATTAGATCGAATTTTGACACCACTTGCATTGCTCCTGCATTAATAAAAGCTGCATTGAGGAAACACCTTACTCATGAGTTATTATGTAATTATAGAGCGATTCAAGTTCTTGGATAAATAACCTTGAAAAAATTATGTATGAATATCGATTGTGATAATTCGTGGGACTTCTTACACTTAATTAGAACACTTAAAGTAAGTTATATTAAAAATAAATGCCTAACTTATAAGGACAATTAAAGTACAAATAATTTATTTTTTTTTCTTATATGTGTATAATCGTATAT